TGCCCTACCTTAATGCACCCCTCAAATCTCCACAGGGCCATGCCCTGCGTGGGCATCCCTTTAATAGGCCACATTTCTGCTGCACTCCTGCCTGACCAGAAGCCCAGGCCACTGGCCACTGCCCATTAGTCAGTAAAAAGTCAAACATACAGGCTTTTTATCACGGTTCAATTCTTCCATCACTGCTAGCAAAACAGCATGCAATTCAGACCACTGAGCTGATGGGTTTTTACCTTTTTCAGTCAGAATGGAGGCCTTCCAAGCAAGATGTTGTCCATTCTACCCACCCCCACCCCCGTGGAACTTCTGTCCACAAATCAAGCAGCTCTTTGTCCGTCAGTCGAGAGCTGTTTATAGGGCACTGACTAAGTGACGAGAGAATCCAGCAAGCTCCTCACACAGTTCCAGAGTCAGTCCTAGGGGAAAGGGGGCTCCCTGCTCCTGAGGAAACTCCTCCTCGCATTCCCCAGGCACTGCCATCCCTATTAAGGTGTTTCTCCAACATCATCCTAGACATTACGGGTATTTCAGGTTTCAAGATGATGTATGTCCCTCAGCTTCAATTAATATCCCATAGCAAGGTAGTAAATGCCCTTCAAAATTCTCTTCCCCAAAGTCCCAGTAGCGGTCACTGGGAGGCGCTCAGAGGCTCTTGCCATAAGCCGCAGTCTACACTCTACATAGTGTACTCTACTCTACATTGGGGAGAATTGGGCTTACCAGCATTCCAGCTTCCACCCTCCAATGGGTGGGCTCAGGGGTCTTACTGGTTCCCATTTAGGACGTCCACTAATATTTATTGCTCGTAGGGCAAATGTACGTGCCTTTTGTTATGATACTAGGTAGGGGAAGTATTCCCGTCAGATACAATGTCCACCCCTTGTCAATCCCTAATATTTTGCCTTTTAGCCATCAGGTAAAAGAAACGCAACCCCTTCCCATAAAGTCTATTCAAACATACAAATTCTCCTACAGACTTTTACCATGATGCCATCAACTCACATTCTTAGCTGTAGCCTCCGTTAGGACTTCATCAACAGGTTATATAGGGTAAGGGAAGTGTTCCTCAGCCACATTTAATATCCATCCCCATAAAACATTCAAGTAAAGTTAACATGATTCCTTTAGAGAGTTATCAGCTTCAACATTCCAACTTTCGTAATCCTATCAACCCTATGTTTTTACATTCTGTCAATTTAATTGTGGCAGGAGTCAGGGCTTCCCTTGGTACCAAAGTTTATGGGACTCCCAGATCAAGGAGTCCGGGAAACTTCTCTTCTCTGACCATTTCACCCACTCTTGTGCTATACAGGCTTTGGGTTCCCAGTGAGGGGGTCAAGCCAAGGGACCCTGACCCTTTTGTCAATCTTTATCTTGATTAATCTGCCTAACTGCTCACCCACGCAGTTGCTGGTCAGGTACTTCACTGTAATTTTTGCCTTCCGGGTTGTAAAATTTCTCCAAACGGGTAAATAAAGCAGGATTGTTTGGGGCCCTTTAATGCTGGAGGAGCAACAGGGGTCCATTTGGCCCAACCACCCTTAGGTAGTACTGTATTAAAGCCTTCGTCTTAACCTCATCAACGTCTGTTTTATTCATCCTATTTCTTAAAAAAAAAAAAAAAATTATGCCACTTATATATACTAAACAAACAAAAAAAAGTTCACCTATTTCTTACTAATCATCTAAAAATTTCCACCCGGCTCGGACGAGTCCTCTTTCTGTTTCCTCTTTGCTTCGCTCCTATCGATACTCACTTTATTCACCGTATTTCTTAATAACTTCAAAAATTTCCACCTAGTTCCGGAAGCGTCCCTTGACTTTCCCCATTGGCTTGTTAATTAATCTAAGGTTTCTATTAGCATCTGTAAGACCCCTGAGGAGAAGCTGAGACAGCAAATTCGATGAGGATTCCCGAGCTGTTTTTTGGTTTTGCAACAATGAGGTTACATGGGGCGCCCCTGAGAAAGGGACCCCCTCAACCACAGCATTTACCATGACCTGGGTAATGGGCACACTGAGCGGGTTAATATTTCGGTCGTCATAAAGCCAGTCCCAGATGCCTTGCATAGGAAGCGTATCAGCTGCTTCATCGGGGTGTTTTGACTCGGCATTCATGGGGGTTAAGGACAGTCCCCTTTCTAAGGATTAACAAGGCTTAGGGTGGCTTTTATGCAGTCCACCAGACTGGTTGTTCCCTCGGGAAATGTCTGGATCACATAACAGCCACCTGCGATTGTTCCATAGTGATCTGTGGGTCAGGCATCGACCCAAACACGCTCCTCCACCCAGGGGCATTCAGACCAGAGACACCGCCCCCAATCAGTTACTCCCCCAAACCCGTTCAGTGAGGCTTCCTCAGGAAGCTGAGGATACTTATAGACAAAATGAAAACAACTCTTGCACACTATAGCCCCCTAGTTACAAAAGTTTCTTCGCTTCGCCCTTCCCCCACAGTGACTTTTACCTTGGGGGGCGGCTTTGAGGCTAATGGTCAGAGCTCAGACTCACTGAACTCGGAGTTTGGACTAGCATCAAAGTCCAACTGAGCGTTCCCTTTTAGTTTAGCTATTACAGTTAACGATGACCAAGGGATTGAATATTTTGCCTTCTTCTCATTAGTATGTACTTCCTTATTCCAACTGCCCAGGAGTTGGGTCCATGTTTAGTTAACTGAAGGCAGCAGTTGCTGCTTCATTCCTTGCGTGACCACATGGACACCCAGGAATCAAGAGGTTCATCCCCACCCGACCTCCCTTCATCCTTTCTCTTCCCAAACCACGTGTTTCTGTGTGCCAGGGACCGTCTAGCAAATCCCAATTCACTGACCACCAACTCTTTTGGGTTCCTGGACCCAAATCCAAAGTTGGGGGAAGGGCCTTCCACACAATACCAAGCAATTCCTGACACCAGCAGTGAGTCCAAGAATTCAACTCAATTCCGATACCACCTACCCGGAGACAGCATCAGACTGCCCAGGTTAAGAGTTCAGTCCGACAAGACTGTTCCCCTACCCCCCGGCCACCCTACATCAACTTCAAATGCCAGGCACACGCCCAGGCTGTTAACCGTGCTTCTGACTGACCAGCTATAGATTGGAGGGTCCAATGACCATCTCCTTGGGTTCGATTAATTTGCTAGAGCAGCTCACACAACTCGGAGAAACATCTCACTTACTAGGTCACCGGTTTATTATAAAAGGATATAACCCAGAAACAGCTAGATGGAAGAGGTGCACAGGGCAAGGTCTGGGGAAAGGATGAGGTGCTTCCATGCCCTCTCCAGGCCCACCACTGTGCCTGAAACTCCACGTGTTCGACAACCTGGAAGCTCTGTGAACCCCCTCCTTTGGGGTTTTAGGGAGGCTTCATTACATAGTCATGATCGATTTAATCATTGGCCATTGGTGATTGATTCAACCTCCAGCCCTCTCTCCCCGCCGGGGAGGTCAGGGGGTGGGACCGAAAGTTCCAACCCTCTATTCATACTTGGTTCCCCTGGCAACCAGCCCCCAGCCTAGGTGCAGCCCAAATGTCACTCATTAACATAACAAAAGACACCTTTGTTGCTCTCATCACTTAGGAAATTCCAAGGGTTTTAGGAGCTCTATGCCAGAAATGAAAGGGAGGCCAAATTTATATTTCTTATTACCGATCACAGTATCACAGCCTGTAAATTGCAACTACCTTTTGGAGGACATATTTTTAACATCTAATGCAAGTTGTAAATATGCGTTCTCTCTGACCCAGCATTTCTTCTACTCTGTCTCCACTCTAGAGAAATACCCCTCAACAGGTACAAAGATGCAGGGACATGAACATTAATCACAGAATGTGGGTAAGAGTGAACACAGGGCAACAGGGAAATAAACAATGGCATATACACTCCTAATAAGGAATATTAGGCAGCAGGTGAAAAGAACGAGATGGGGGGGCGCCTGGGTGGCTCAGACGGTTAAGCGTCTGACTTCGGCTCAGGTCATGATCTCAGGATCCTGGGATCCAGCCCTGCGTCCGGCTCTCTGCTCAGCGGGGAGTCTGCTTCTCCCTCTGCCCCCTCCCCAACTCTCTCTCAAATAAATAAATAAAAATCTTTTTTAAAAAAGGAAACGAATGAGGTGGGTCTATGCGTCATCATATGGAATGAACGACATCCAAGACAAACTGCTTAGTGAATAAAGCAAATTGCAAAAAGATACGTATACTTCGCAAAAAAAACAAACAAACAACTTTTAAACCTACGCATAACGCCACAAATGTTTTAATCAGCATATATATGTAGAAAAGCACACGTAAATGATAACCAGTAACACTGGCTGCCTCTGGGTAGGAGGGAAGACAAGAGAATCAGAACTGGGGCCGGTGACTGAGAGGACTTCAGCTTTTTTTCTTCGTAACTGTCCTTCAAGGACAATTAACGCTTCCGTAATTAGAAATTAATGTTTTATAAAGGGCATCTGGCTGTGTAGCGAAATTGTCGAGCCGCCCCCACCTTATCACTTTAGTGCACACTGGCGCAACTTCCAATTGGTAGCGCCTGCATTACTTCGCCCAAGGACTTTCTCTTGCCACCGGAACCTGCTCAGCTGCTGAAGATGCCTTTGCTGCCCATGTGGCAGACCAGAAATGCTGGGGAATGAGCCCCCTGATCGCAGCCCTCAACCAAGGACTGACTGATGGGAGTGCGGGTACCTCTCATCAGGGACGAGCCAGGAGGTAGAAAGCGCCTTGGTTATTTGAACAGACAGGATTTACTATTTAAAAAACAAAACAAACAACAACAAAAAAACCCGTAAACTAGGCATAAAGTTGTAAAGGAGCTAACTCCAGTGGTGAAAAGAGAACTCTAAGGTATCGTAAAGAAAGTAACCGGAGGAAGCGGCTACCAGCCCCAGGGCTGGGGTACAAAGGAGAGAGAAGGGAATGGTTACAACTTAGAAGCTTGGAGGAAGGGCTCCATGGAACTAGGACCCAGACCCCCGAGGAGGGGGTGCTACTCACCTCATGCTGGTGTTGCTGATGGGGGTGGGATGAGTCTGGTTCTGTGAATCCTGGAGAGCTGCAAACCGGATTCAGCTGTAGACAACGAAAGGCGCTGCTGGGGCGGCGGTGAAGAAATGTTCTAGGGGAATGCTGACAGCAGCAGGAAGCTGACAGGAGGGAACAAGGAAGAACAGAAAGGAGTTTAAGTTGCTACGTCCTCCTCCCGCCTTGCAGTCTCCCTCTATCGCCCCCTAGAGGCAGAGTCTAGCAGGAAGCAGCCGGCCGAGCTGGAATGCGGATGGTCGCATCCCATCCCCCCGAATCAAAGGGTAGAGTATAGAAGGGTGAGTTTGAAGCTGAAAAACTTAATAACATGCGGGAAAATAGAGAATAGTTTAATGAGTCTCAGTTCATCTGTCACTTAGCTTTAAGAGTTATTACTACTTTGGCTTTCTTGCTTCATTTATTTCCCTCCGTACTTTCCCCCCCCCGGAGTATTTTAAAGCAAATGACATAATTTCACCCATAAAATACTTAAGTGTCTAATAGGATACAGACTTTAGGAACACAGTACCATTATCACACCTAATAAAATCAACACTAATTCCTTAATATAATCCAATACTTAGTTTGTGTTCAAATTTTCCTGGTTGTCTCAAATTTGTTTGAATTTAAACCCAAACAATATCCAGGTATTGTTTTTGTTAATGTATCTCTTTTTTTTTTTAAGATTTTGTTTATTTGACGGAGAGACGGCCAGAGAGGGAGCACAAGCAGGGGGAGTGGGAGAGGGAGAAGCAGGTCCCCGCTGAGCAGGGAGCTGGATGTGGGGCTCCATCCCAGGACCCCGGGAGCATGACCTGAGCTGAATGCAGACCCTTAACCGACTGAGCCACCCAGGTGCCCAGAGCTTGCATTATTTTTTAATGAAGAACTTTCTCATCAATTCTGAATGCTCTGAAATACAGTCAGGCAGAATAGGTGTTTAATTTTTTTTCCTTTATCAATTTTATGATTAATAAATTGGTGTCCTAGCAGCCTCCAAAAAGTGACCAATGAGGTTTTTTTTTTTTTTTTTAAGATTTTATTTATTTTTGAAAGAGAGAGAGAGCACAAGCAGAGGAGGGGGGCAGAGGGTTGGGGGAAACAGACTCCTCACGGAGCAGGGAGCCTGAAGTGGGGCTCGATCCCAGGACCCCAGGATCATGACCTGAGCCAAAGGCAGATGCTTAACCGACTGAGCCACCCAGGCACCCCAAGGTTTTATTTTTTAGTATCAGGATGAACTCATGGAGTTCTAAAATATTTGATGTATAAATATATACACTACTTTGCAGTCACTATGCTTTTTCATGCTTAAGTGTTCTATCTTGGGCCAGTGAGAACCCCTTAAAAAGTTGGTTCCTTAATCCTTTAATACAACCCTTGTAGTCCTTAATTTTTAGTTAGGATATTCCAGGTTCATCTTTTGTATTCCAGCCTCAGAATTGAAATTACCTCTTTCCCTAAGGAGCTCTGCGTTTGTTTGTTTTAAATTATATTTAGTCACCATAATCTGGATGCTGGGTATTTATTGCTATTATGTTGTCATTTCTTTTAGGTCTTTTCAGTGCACCAAGCTAGGAAAGACATATTTCTTAGAAAAAGAAAAATAAACTATAAATTCATACTGCTATTTCCAATCCAAATGAAATATTAAAGGATTTTTACTTAATTTCTTTGATTCTGTGTTTGTATCTCTTTTCTCTCATGTATAAAATCTTTGTTCTTTTTTTTTAAAGATTTTATTTATTTATTTGACAGAGACACAGCAAGAGAGGGAACACAAGCAGGGGGAGTGGGAGAGGGAGAAGCAGGCTTCCTGCTGAGCAAGGAGGCCAATGCAGAGCTCGATCCCAGGACCCTGGGACCATGATCTGAGCGGAAGGCAGACGCTTAACAAATGAGCCACCCAAGCACCCCAGAATCTTGGTTCTTAATGACATTAACATAATGACTTATTTGCTTGATTCTACTGTATGGAGGAGCGTCAGGGTAACAATATCAATTTTATTGGGGACAATTAGACCACTGAATGCCATTTCAGATTTATTTGCAGTTCTTATTGTCCTTAGGATCTAGCTCACTAGGGAGATACTGTAAAAATACTGTGTTTGCAAGTCACTTGGGATAATTATTCTCTGTGTAGTTTTGCCACCAGCTTGATAGATACTTGGGTTCATTTGTTTCAGTTTGTCTTCAGTTTGTAAGAATGATACTCAGTTTTTAAATTATTTTAAACAATTTTATGGTTCCAACATGTATTTGTTGCTGCCTAGAAATTAAATCGAACTTAAAATAACAAGTATTTATTATCTCACAGTTTCTGTCAGAAATCTGGAATGGCTTAGCTGGGTGGTTCTAGTTCAGGGTCTCTCATGAAATACAGTCAAGATGTCAACTAGGGTTGCAGTCATCTCAGGGTTTAACTGGGACTGGACATCTGCTACCAAGATGGTTCACCCACGTGACTGCTGGCAGACCTCAGATCCTCACCATGTGGGACTGCTCAACCAGGCAACTGGCTTCCCCCAGAACAAGTGATCCAAGAGAAAGAAGGAATGAAACAGAAGCCACATTGTCCTTTAGAGTCTAATCTTGGAAGTTACGTACTATTACTTCTGCCAAATTCTACTGGTCACACAGACCAACCGTGCTACAATGTCAAGGGAACTTCACAAGGATGTAAATACTAGCAGGTGGGAATCTTTGGAGGGCCATCTTTTACTCAAATCAAAATTATAAAACAAGATATATTCAGAGAGGTCTAGCTGCCATCTTTGTGCTTTCCACATTCACTGCCTTCTCCTTTAGGAAACCACCTTTTTTTTTTAAGTTTTATTTATTTATTTATTTATTTATTTGACAGAGAGAGAGCACAAGCAGGGGGAGCAGAGGCAGAGGGAGAGGGAGAAGCAGGCTCCTCACTGAGTGGGGAGCCCAATGTGGGGCTCGATCCCAGGACCCTGGGATCATGACCTGAGCCAAAGGAAGACGCTTAACGACTGAGCCACCCAGGTGCCCCAGGAAACCACTTTTATTAGTCCTTGCTTTATCTTTCCATTGTTTTTCTTTTGAAAAATATCAGAAAATACGTACCTCTATTTATACTCCCAAAATATATTTCCTACCCTACAACTTTTGTGCACCTTGCTTTCTTTCAGTTAACACCATATTCTACAGATCAGCTAAAAGCAACACACAGAGATCTTCCTCACTCCATTTTACAGATTCATTAACCTTCATTATATAGATATACTATAGTTTAAGTAACATTTTAATGGCTTCATTAATTATTAATTCTCCAATTTTTGGATGTCTAAGTTGTTTATCATTTTCATCATTATAAATAATGCTGCAACAAAATCTTTGTGTATACAAGTTTCTCTGGATGTAGGATTTTTTTTTTAAGACTTATTTCATTATTTTGGGGGGGGGGATGGGAGGGGCAGAGGGAGAGGGAGAGAGAGTCCCAAGCCGACTCCATGCTGAGCACGGAGCCGGATGCGGGCCTCGATCCCATGACCCTGAGATCATGACCTGAGCCAAAACCAAGAGTCATGCCCAACAGACTGCACCACCCAGGCACCCCTGGGTGTAGGATTATTATCTTAGGCTACTAGACTCACATATTTATTAAGTCAAAGTTATGAATAATTTTTATGCTCTGTTCATATACTGCTAACTTGGTTCACAAAAGAGCTACACTGCATTACATTTCTACCTAGTAAGTATAGAGTTCATTTTCTCTGTATTCTTGTCTGAATTGGGTAGTCTAATTCTTTCTCATCTTTACTATTTTGACAGATAAACTTAAGTATATTCTTGTAGTGGCCATGTATTTTCACATAATGCTTTAGTATTAAGTTAGTTTACTTTATTACTCTGTATTTCAAAGACAACTCTTACTAATTTGGAAGCTATATCAAATACCATTTTTTTTTAAAGATTTTATTTATTTATTTGACAGAGAGAGACACAGCGAGAGAGGGAACACAAGCAGGGGGAGTGGGAGAGGGAGAAGCAGGCCTCCCCGCTGAGCAGGGAGCCCGATGCGGGGCTCGATCCCAGGACGCTGGGATCATGACCCGAGCCGAAGGCAGACACTTAATGACTGAGCCACCCAGGCGCCCCTCAAATACCATTTTTGACTATTTAAATTTATTTTTCTGTATCTTTAACCTGAAGTGCATGTGCACTTATAGGATATTCTTCTGAGCTAGTAAATATTTAGTACTTACATGCAAGACTATAATGGGTGCAAAAATTATAAAGTGCAATAATGATTACACAAGTCATAAAAAATGCAATAAAAATTATCCCAGCAATTTTTAGTATAATATATTCATAAATTTAGAGATAATAAAATATTCAAGTCATTTTGTTGGATTTGTAGCACTATGGTTTTATTTTCGCTATAAAAATAGCTGTTAACCCTTTTTCACTAAGAAAATATCTACTAGAGTAAGAGATCTATTATTCATGAACTACATATTCAGTAAATGTTTTTAAAACAGCCCTGCCATGTTTCTCATTAAGATAGCTATGGCATATGTTTCTAAATCCATATGTCATCATTCTTCATTGGATTAATTAGCAAAATGATTTTTTTCTCCTTTTACCTTTCTGAGTGATATTTTAAAAATATTTTTGGCATTTATACAGAGTACAATTTATAGGTCATAAAAATATTCATGTTACAAAGTACTCTTGGATAGCTCTTCTGCTGCTGCTGTGAATACTAATTATGAATATATATTTAGGTATTCATAACACGTAGCCATTTTGCTGAAATGTAACCAGACTCAGCAGCAGAGCCCTCCAGGGGGTGGGGTGGGGGGTGGGGGGGTCACTAACACCAAGACCACCTGCAAATTATTACTCTCATTGTTATCAATAAACAATTCTAACAAACTGGGTTGAAATGCCCTGAAATTCTTCCCCCAGCAGAGTTGTTATTGTTAATCAGTATGTTTCATGCCTTGACCAGCAAAACAGCTCAGGCCTGCTGGAGTTAACCCCCACAGCACAATAGCCAAACACTGAATACATCTCAATACTTTCTGAAAAATGCAAACGGTCCAAAACACGGTTTTTGGACCACAAGGCAAAGATTAGCAA